ACGGACAGAACTTCAACTTCGGACTGGTGGTCATGCCGATGCTGGTGATGATGTTCGTCCGTCAAGCGCAACGCATCCTCGCCATCCTCCTTGGCGAACAACGCCCCGTCAATCCCCAGGAGAACCTCCTTATCCACCCGGCCCTTATCCGACTTGACCCACGGCGTCTGCACCTCCAGATCGCCCACGCGATCCAAGCACAGCTCGAACCGCTCCTCCGACACCCCCTCCCACTTATTGAAGATGATCAGATCCGTATACTTGGCCTGCAGCTTCGCCGTGTACGACGTGTCCTCGTACCCCTCCCAATTCTCCACGTCAATCACGCTGATCACCCCGTCCAGCACAAAGCTGCCGGGCTGCTCGCGCGCAAGCCGGTTCACCTCCATCGCCAGCGTCGCGGGGAACGCGCTCCCGCTCGTCTCGATGACGATGCGGTCCGGCTGAACTTCCTCGCGCAGCTGGTTCAGCGCGTCGCTGAGCTGGCCCACCAGGTTGCAGCAGATGCATCCGTTCAGCAGCTCGCGCACGCCGGAGATGGACTGGGTCGAGGCGAGCTGCGAGTCGATGGCTACGTCGCCGAATTCGTTTTTGAGGAGCGCGAGGCGGTAGGTTGGGGGGAGCTGGGGGATGAGGTTGAGGAGGAGGGTGGTTTTGCCGGAGCCCAGGAAGCCCGTTATGATTGTTATTGGGATGGGCATTGTCACCTTCTTTTCTTTTCTTTTGTCTGAGAGTTGCCAGTGTACAGTCCGATGGTGATACTTTTTACGGCGGAGGGGTAGAGGCGCTAATCCTGATCTGGAAGCCCTAATCTAATGACGTAGGTACGTGGGAATATACTATTTATACCTCTCTATTTCTGAAGGAAGTCAAGGAGTCAATAAAAGTATTTTCATATCAATGCGTCTGATGTACATGATGGCAATCCTAGGACGGTGGTAATACTGCCATGGAAGTGTAGATGGCCGCATGTCGAGACAGCACAGACCAGTAGCGGACATCAACAGCTTCAGAACAGCTAGTATCTACGGAGTAATGGGTATCATTCAGTCCTCTCATAAGAAAGCTCAGTATATCCCTCAACACCAGCCCTCGCCATCGCCTCCTCCACACTCTCCCGCGACAGCTCCCTCCGCATCCTCCTCAACTCAAACTCCCCAAAATAACTCGGCTCCTCGCTCACCTTGCAGAACCCAACACTCTCAAACAGCGCCAGACTGCGCCCATTCTCCTTTCCAATCTTCACACTCAGCGCGCCAACCCTCCAGTCCGTCCTGCCTTGCAGGGTAGCGCCAGCACTCTCACTCCCCCGCACAAACTCCCCCACTATCTCCCCCTGATGCTCAAGCACATACCGCAGAAACGCAAGCAGAGCAGCCCGCCCATGGCCCTTTCGCTGATTGGCCCTCTCTGCAATCATCAGCTCCATCTCCCCGATGATCTCCGGCGAGGACGGCCCGTCCTCGTCCTCGTCCTCGTCCTCCACCCGGAGGAAGAGGTTGATGTCGCCGAGCATCTGCCCGGGAGCATCATCTCCCTCGTTCAGCCGTAACCCTAGCCTCTCTTGACCTTCGGTCTGAAACTGAGACTGAGGCTGAGTCTGAGACCGGATAACAGGCAAGCAGATGATAAACGTCAGCTTATCGGCGTCCTGGCGCCAGCTGCGCTGCATGGCGTACTCCTCTTCCAGAGTAAGTGGTTCCGAGGCCGTGGCGGCTTGGATTTCCTGTTCTCTTTAGCACTGCATCTTGCTCATAAACTGGATTTGAGGTGGAGTGCCTACCTCATCTTTCATCCATTCGTGGTAGCGTGGGACGTGCCAGCTGGAGTATGGGACGAGGAGGACTTTGGAGGTGGAGATGGCTGTCCCGTCGTTTTTGTCAGTTTTTTCAGTCTATTGTAGTGGTTGATTCTAAAGCTGCGTAGTGCGTACCGGTTTTTGCGTTGAGGCGCATGGCTAGTATGATTTGGATTAAATGTTAGAGTCTATGTCTATGGCTGCCTGCAGCTTTTTGTCTTTGTTTGATCGGTAGACTAGATCAAATTGCTGGGAGAGGAAAATAATGACTTTTGCCCGGTCTTGGCGCTTGATCTACGGAGTATAAATCCTGGATAACTACGAACAGTCATTGCAGAATTTTGCAGTGGCACATAGCTTGCTCATTGTGGTCTTCTATTGATTGTATTATTGCTTGTCTTGCTTTCCTGCAAACGCACCGAATTTGACCACCTCGACCTCCAATGTCTCGCTGTCCACGAGGATCAACTCCCCCGTCTCCTTGAATTTGGGAAGCGACAACAGACGCACACGCGCCCCCGTATTATCGGCCGCGTCCGTCATCTCAGTGTCAGCTCCGTTAAGCCTAAGAGGAGAGTCGCCTTCCAGCACCGCCGTTTTGAACCGTGGCTGATTGCCAGTGAAGAAGATGTGCGGACAGGAGTGCATTACGAAGGGGTCATTTGTCTGGAAAGGATAGGACCCTGTAGAACAGTCAGCTCTTAATCAAGATCCGTAGCAGGAACGAACGTACATATTGTATCGGGGGCGGTGGGAACTCCACACCTCCACCGTAGCATGGCCTCCATGATTCTCATCCTGGCCTCGATGTCCCCATCACCGGCGTCTAGCGCATCACTGTCTGCAAAGTCCAGGTACCGGAGGACATCATCCACGTTCTGTCCACTGCATCCCCACAGCCGCCATCCTTCGACGTCTCCCTCCCACGGGTTTGTGACGCTGTCGAACCAGCCTGGCTCGGGAGCTTCCTCCCCCGACGGAGGTGGAGCACAGTATGCTCTGGCTCGTGGAAACATCGCGCGGTGGATCCCCTGCTGAGGGAGTGCAAAGTTCGCCGGATCACTCTCGCCCGGCATGAGAGTCACAGGTATGCTCGGCAGGATCTCCGCGAGGAAGTTGTCTAGTTGTGTGATGGGTGAGGCGTTGTACGCAGAGGCGTCGTATCCATACTTTCTCGGGGCCATCTTCTTCTTCCCCGCCGCTCCCGTCTCCGTACCTGTCGATGCTGCCTCAGCCATCACACTAGCCCCCAGTGAGTTTCCGGCAATGATAAGCCGTGTGATAGAGGATGCATCCGACCCTGTATACCCCAGAAGATAGTCTGTCAGAAGTTCCAGTGCAAGAGTATCACTCAATGTGCCCGTAACCCCGAGACCACTCACAAAAGCAATCTTGCCCTTGCGCGACTCTTTTCCGCCCGTTTTGTCTTCGTCCCGCTCCCACCGACGCGGCTGCGGAGGCAGGTCAGGCACTCTGATATCGATCGTTTCAAAATCACCGTTCGCATTCTCCGTCCCTAGTACCGCTATGATGGCTCCTGTCGCGAGTTGAGTTGACCTCAGAAGATTCCCTGTTAATCGCAGGCGGCCCGACTCATCTTCCAACATGATTTGAGTCAATTCCGGATGAGCGGGATCTTGGTAAGTGCGACGGGGCGGAGGGGCTAGGGTGTGACTCTAGGAGGTATCAGCAGATGCCTGTAGGCACGACGGACGAGAACGTTCGAACCTCTTTGGAAAGATCATCGAGGATATTCGGCTTCAAGGGCATGTCCATGTAGACTGTCCCAGCGACCCAGCAAAGCTCGCCTTGTCGGACATCGAGCACTCGCTCTACGCGACGAGCGCGTTCTCCGGCGATCTATTGGCCGTCGACAAGGATTAGAAAAAGACGATCGAGTGTCCGGCATTGACGAGGTTGTCTTACACTGAATCCTTCCCATGCGTCCGTTCCAACCTCTTCCACCACAGGTTTCAGTCGTGCGAGTCGCAAGAAGTACATGTCGCCATATTGTTGCTGGTAATGTCTTGATTCGCCGGAGGGGAGTCTGAAGGTATGAAGTGGGTTATAGTGGGAGACTTCGCGATACACAGGCGAGAACTGTTCGTCACTGCATCGAGCGACTGTTAGCATGATTTTATCCACTTGAGCATTGAGAAGAGATATTCGGAAGAGCAGACCTTGGGGGTTGCAAAAACACGTCCTCCGCTGTGTTGGTAGCCATTGTTGCGAGCAGATCTCTTATCTTCCAAGGTGCTCCCTCTGAGCAATGGAAAATAAGATGATTCTTTCTGCTATGCCCCAAAGAGCTAGTAATTGAAGAAGTTGAAGCGGAGCTTCGTCATTGTTCGGTTGACTGAGGCCGCTGTACTACGCGTCTTTTGGCGTTTCCCCGGCAGTGTAATTACAATACCGCATTGGGCAGAACTATCACTCCTACAACAAACCTCAGACTCCAAGTGCTCACATCTCACTCTGTAGTCTCCATGGAACAGGGGAGATAGTTGCTTGTTGGAATTCTACGAGAGTATTTTTCTGAGTCCATTCTCAAAGTCGGAATGATTTGAAAATGCTAGAATCCTGGTCGATTGATGACTATACGACTCTGGTCATCGTTGCGAATGATCTTGGAACTCCATCAAGAATGGCAGAGATTACTCTGAGACAAGCTCCTAGAAATAAGAGCAGCTATAGATTCTCAATCTCATGCTTTCTTCTGCGATATGCTGGCTGTTTCGGCGAAAAACGTGCTGGTGTCACTGAAGAATGCTGGCTTGAACCACAATCGATGTGTCGACCGTACAGCTAATCAACGGTTAAGATCTCTCTGACAGAGTCTAGAAGACCGAGCTTTTGATCTGCAGTGGTGATGAGGTCGTTCACGAGAATACCATTGGTGACTAAAGTCTTGAATCGACCTACAGTAGACTAGATGGCTGTTGACTATCTAGCCCGAAGCCCACGAACGCATTCCGATTTCCATTCCACATACCACATCTTCCATGAGTGGATTGCATCAAGTCAATCGAATGCACGAGGCCTTGATTGTTGGCGTCATCAGATTTCTCCTTCTCTGATAGGTCTGCTCACTCGCGCTTGGATCCATTCATTCTTGTCAATTGAGAAAAACCATTCGAATGACATAGTCGAGAACTCGAGAATGGATCTACTCATCTCTCATATGTGCATCTGCATGTCTTCCATGAGTATGGCAGACTTCAAAACATTAGGCAGCCCATATCTCGTCCTCCCATCCGTGGCTGGCCTGAGAGTTGATCTTCTTGATCTCCCCGGGCCGTCCTCGCAGTCTCAAGACGCGTTGACAACACCAACGTCTCCAGATCCATCTTCACGGCAACTGCACCAGGATGAAGATCCTACCGTCTTCCATCCGTCTTCTAGGCAATTTCCTCGCCGTCAGTCTGCTGACGTGCCTCTTCGCGACGGCGTTCAATCTCGACTTCCTCCCGCGCGGTTTATCGACGCGATTGTTCGGACGAAGCCTTCCAGGATCGCTGATAACTGCTCCCCAAGGTGCAGTTGGGTATCAACCTCCTCCAGGTCCCGTTGCCAACGAAGCGCGACCAACAGAGACATCCCATCCAGAGGCCTACAAGACAATCACCACAACGATCATTACCCGAGAGACAACGCACGAACTGAGGCAAGCCCCAGTGGCCATGAGGAACTCGTCAGCGCTGTTTGGGTATGTCTGCTCGTTTTGATCTTAAGCGTGTTTGCTGATGGAGTTTCCCAGACCTTCGACGAACGTTGTCGTGGTCACCGGGACTGTGACCAGGACACGGGTGATGGTGGTACCTACACAAACGGCTTCTTCCGAAGGAAGTAGAGACGCTACGGATACATGGGGCTTAGCTACATTAGCCTCTTTGTTTTTGTGGGCCTTATGGCACTTGTGACTGTGAAAAGAATAGATGCTCAGGTCAAATCAAACGTTCACAGATAGTGCCCCTCTTATGTCTACCTCCATGAGTATGCAGGCTACATATAGAATATCTGTTCCCTCGAGCACACGATCAACTGCTGTCTGATTGATCGAATTGGGGCTATCAGTAGCTAAGAGTTGGGCGCCGATCCCTTCCATCCCAGTCTAGTATTTAGTGGATTCTGCTCTATGGCAGCAACTGAAGTGGATAGACTGACTCGTACGGCGGACAATGCGTAACTGGACAGTTGTATTTCTCCTCCTTGGATTTTCTAGTGCTCACGCAGATTATTTCTGTATTCGCGATCCGTGCAGCCCGCCGCGAATCGTAATGTCATACTCCGTAGAATGCGGGCTACAGTTGATCCAATGGGGTGCTGTGTGCACATTATCCCTGCAAGCCCCTAATGGTCCGACTGACGGTCCCTGAAACCCTGCGCCTCCTAAGCGATTTTGCAAAGTCTCCATTGCTCTCGAATTTGGGGGGCGGAAGTCTGTTTATCCCATTGACTCTCGTGTATTATCCTCTGCGGTAACCTTCTAAGCTTACAAGTATCTATCCTATGCTGGTCAACATTCTCCCTCGGTATTTTCGTTGCCTCTACGCCCTCACGGCAAGTCTACGGGGAGTCCACAGTCAATGTCTACCGTATTAGACGGTCCCGCCGGGTTTGCGCTCCGCAAGAATGGCACCTGTCTCGACACAGAGGTGGACTGTGGTGCCACCCTTCACCCATTTCGAGCCTGCTGCCCCGGAGGCTCATACTGCCCAAACCAGTACAATGTGAACTGCTGTCCGTCCGCCGCGAACTGCACACAGCTGCTTGTGGAGACACCAAAATGCGCCAATGAGACGTGGGATTTGTACAGTTATTACGGATACTTTTGCTGTGAGAAGGGAACAACAGCCTTCGGGACCAGTTCGCAAAGTGATGGTTGTGCGGTGCCGGGGTATAACTTCGACAGCTCCGAGACTCTGTTGCCGGTGGTCTCCTCGGGGAAGGGTACGTGGGCTGTAAAACACCCAGAATCTTTCAGTTGATGCTAACGTAGCGTTCCAGCATCGGTTGCGACATCGACTTCCTCCGTAACATCCACGCCGTCGACGAGCTCTACATCCTCGACATCACCAACACGCACATCGACTCAACCCCCCGAGGCGTCCTCCAAGACAAACACAGGAGCCATTGCAGGAGGCGTAGTCGGCGGCGTGGCTGGAGTAGCCCTCATCGCTTTCTTGGTGTGGTGGCTTCTCAGTCGCCGATCGAAACGTCAACCAGTTCTTCACGGGCCGCAAGTGATCCCCACCACAGATTATAAAAGTAATAGCCAAATGGTCAGTGAACTTGACGGCCGCAGTACCGCGCACGAGCTCGAGGGCCAGGCAGATCATCCGGCTCACGAACTACCGGCGGACTCGACATTCCGTCGATGATACAAGGTACGAAGGATCACCACTAACCATTAGCGTCTTCATCACATATTGGCTATATGAAGTAATGAAAGCGAAGAGATGGTAGAGGTAAGATGGTAGATAGATGGTTGATTGTTGATGCACGGCAACCTGTGGTTCAGCCTCGGTCCGGCTGCTCCGCTTCCCCGCATTCACACAGGCACAACTGCTTCATCTCCTGCTTTGTTGTCGGTTCTATGTGTGCATAAATTCTGGGGCTCATGAGAGCCATCTCTGCATATATGAGGTCAATAATGCTAATTAATATGACCTCTCTGTCTACTTGGTCCCTTGCGATCGATTAAACCGTCTCACCCTAAGCATTTGCTTCTCAATTTCTAGGCACATTCTTACCACAGTTCCGTCCTTCACTCAGTACGATAGCCGTGAAGAACAGGGATGATACAAGACAACGCATACCGATCTTGAAGCCGACTTGATCTCCACTAGTCTATTGTCTAAGCTACAAAATGTCCGTCCACACACCCCTCTGCTCACTCCTCAACATGCAGCACCCCATCCTGCTGGCAGGCATGGCTCGTGCATCCGGCGCCCCCCTCGCCGCCGCCGTCTCCAACGCGGGCGGGCTAGGAACCATCGGCGGGCTGGGCTACACCCCCCAGCAGCTCTCGGAGATGCTCACGGAGCTCAAATCGCTCCTGCGCGACACATCTCTCCCCTTCGGCGTGGACCTGGCCCTGCCGCAGGTCGGCGGGGGCGCCCGCGCCACGAACCATGACTATACACACGGCCAGCTCGACGAGCTCATCGAGACTGTCATCTCGCACGGGGCGAGGCTCTTTGTATCTGCCGTGGGCGTGCCGCCCGAGCGCACCATCAAGCGGCTCCACGAGGCCGGTATCCTGGTCATGAATATGGTCGGGGCCCCGAGACACGCGGAGAAGGCGTTGCAGCGCGGGGTGGACATTGTCTGTGCGCAGGGTGGGGAGGGTGGCGGGCACACGGGCGACATCCCCTTCTCCGTCCTCGTGTCGGCCGTCGTGGACGTCGCGAAGCGGTACAAGAGCCCGCTGACGGGTCAGCCGGCGCTGGTTGTCGCGGCGGGCGGCATCAACGACGGTCGCAGCCTGGCGGCGTCGCTGATGCTGGGTGCGTCCGGTGTCTGGGTGGGTACGCGGTTCGTGGCGTCCGAGGAGAGTGGTGCTAGCCGGATGCACAAGGAGGCCGTGGTCAGGGCCCGGTACGGCGAGACGCAGCGGACGCTTGTCGTGACCGGACGGCCGCTGCGGATGCTGCCGAATGATTACATCAAGGACTGGGAAAAGCGGCCCCAGGAGATCGCCAAGCTGACGGCCAAGGGCATCGTCCCCATGATGCACGACCTGGAGAACGAGAAGGAGGTCGATATGCCTTTCCTCATGGGTGATGTCTCCGCCAGCATCACAGAGATCAAGCCTGCAGGTGACATTGTGCGCGAGATGGTCCAGGATGCCGCCGAAATGTTGAAGCTAGGAGCGTCGTATACCACCGGACCGTCAAGCAAGCTATGATTCTTTGTATGTACTCCGTAGTTTAGTGCGTTTTCGAAATCTGCTATGTTGTAAAAATGAATATCATGATTGCCTGAAGCTATCAATAGGGTTTTTGTTCATTCGGCATGTACAAGTACAGGAACATGTGCAACAAAACAGAACGGGTGCGACGGGCGAAATGAAAAACCTCGTGGACGAGCAAAACATGCTTTGCGGTATACTTGAGACTAGTTCGGCAGCACCAGCAGAGAGGCTCACTCAAGCAGAAATGTCACAACGAGTGTCTCCATTACTCTGGCATGAACTATGCTGACATAAACCTTCAGGAGTGAGAGGCTTGCTGCTACATGTCCTTTCCAGATATGCGCGACTCAACCGAATACTCATAGAGAATCGAGTCATATCCAATCGGGTCAACAAGCGTCTCACAACCGATATACGCCCTTCTATGCATAGGCCGCCATGAGACTCTTGAAATACGAGGTAAACGCGAGGCAGCAGGTATTAGCCAGAACCAAGATCCATTAGTGGCATCCGTTGATCATGGCTTTGGTTCCATTCGCTCGCGCTTCCAAGAGGCTAGGCGGCGGGGGTGGTCCAAAGACAGGCTTCTCCGTCGGCTGGGGAGCGCTACGGCCGCCGTTGATGTCGTGATCCGGATTGTCCAACTCGTACTCGTCGTCGCTGATGCCCTCGTCGTCTTCATCATCTTCGTAATCCTCGTCGTACTCGCTCTCTGTTCCCTCGTCGTCTCCGTTCAACTCAGCTGTGAGACCCTGCCCGCGGCCCTGGGCCTGCATTCGCCGGCAAAGCGCTTCAAGGTGTTGACTCTTCTTTCGCCACTTTTCCAACTCTTCGTGATTTCGTGTTCGTTCCTCGGCCATCTCTAGTATGTTTCGGTTCGTCTGGTCGTGCTTGCGGGTGAGTGTCAGGTTCTCCTTCTCTAACCGTTTGGTTTTCTTCGACATTTCCTCCATTTCTTTGCGGAATGTCAGGAAAAGTTCGTTACTGTTATTGAGCGTATCCTCCACCTGTAACATTATTATTACCTGCTATTGTAACGGACGTGATAGGCCGCATAATGGACGCCGAAACATACCTGCTTGAACTTCTCAACGTAGATATTCAGCTGGCTGCGCAACTCGGCTTCGGTATGCGAAAAAGTAGACACCTGCGAACTGAGCGCACGACAACGGGCCGCTTCGTTTTCAGCAGCGCGGCGCTGTTCTTCGTACTTGGCAGTCAGGCACTGTATCTCGGCATCTTTGCTGCGCAAGAGCGCTTTATAATGCAACTCTCGCATTTCGAACTTTTCGCCGATGGTCTTAATTTTGGCGCGCAGGCTGTAATGCTAAGGTCAGCGCTTAAATCGATGGTCCGTATGACAGTGGACTTACGCCTCGTCCAAGTCGATATCCAGCTTTTCGTTGCGAGGGTTGCCCTTTGCTGCCATGACATCTTGGATGTCGTACAACAGAGAGTCAAGCCGTTCATTCACAATCAGCCGCGCCTTTTTCTCGGTTTCCTCCAGTTTTTTGTTTTCGTCCTGTCGAATATGCGCCTGTCAGACCAACGCTCTTGCAGCTGAAATAGACGATTCCGTCGAGTCCGAATCAACCCACCTTGACCTTCTTGTTCTCTTTGGTGAGCTCTCGGCAGAGTTTCTCCAGTTTATCTTTCATGGTGACAGTCTTGTTCAATTCCGACTTGCCCTTGTCCTGGTCCTTCTGGAGTTGATCGGCCCGCTTTTTGCTTTTGGCATAGTCGCGATCCAGCTTCTTCATGTCCGCCAACAATTCGGTGTACTTCTTGTGCACGGTCTCCAGTCTGGTCATGGGGGATTCGATGTTGCTGAGCAATTGGTTCAAATCTCTGGTAGCCTTCTTGACCTCCCGCTCTGTCGGTATGTACCGGTTAGTGTCAACCACTTAATAAGTATGTAGCGATCAAAAATCTAAGCTGCAAAGGGGGTTTCTGCCAGGAAAAGGCCGCATAACGAACCGATTTCTTGTTCTTGATCTTTCTCCCCAGCAGCATCTTGCTCCAGCTGGGAGATTTTGGCTGCAAGTAGCTTAGACGTCTCATTGGGATCCGCCATCTTCTTCCCCTTGTTCTTCTTCGACATTGCTGCAGACGACATGACCCTCGATTCCTGCAGGAACAGTGCCGAATATTGGGTGCGATTTGCGGATTCGTTGGCGGTGATCGCGTGGCCAATCCACGGATGCCGAAAATTGCGAGGACGGCAAGGTTGGCGAGAAGCGGTAGACCGTTAAATGGGTGGCTGTTTTGGTACAGGGCTGCGGAGGCAGGAACACCACGAATGCAAGACAGTACTCCCCAAGAAGTATGATCGAAGCTCTAGTCTAATCGAAGTCAAAAACCCACAGAGTACCTATACTAGCGGAGAACGTATGTGGCCTTCTCTTTTAAGACTCGCAGAACCCGGTGGATTGGATCTCCACAATCTTTCGCAACCAAGTTCTGCAAGACGATCGAAGACCTTCAAGCAAGAGAATAGACTGCGGGGGCTTCCGGAGAATGAGAGCAGGTCTGCCAGATGAAAAACGGACACACAGAACAGAAGCTTCGAGGACCTTGCCGGGGAGAATGGATCGAATCGAATCCAGTTGTGAGCGTAGGTAAGAGGGGGGATGCGCACTTGACCGCCACTAACCCGATTTGAAATCTTCAATCTTGGCATCGGCCAAAGCACCACTGCCTGGTCTGCCATCACATCCTTCGATGTCACCTACATTGATATATCTGTTTGGAACTTTTCTACAATCCTTTTCGGACGCCTCCGACTGTCTAGTCATAGGTACCCTTGGTCGGGTTAAAGTGATTGAGATACTTTTGTTGCACCCTTAATCGACCCTCTTATCTCGGTACCATAGTTAGGGTCACAGTTCCTAGAAGACGGAAAGCCTCACGATCCTATCGACTGCTGCAGCCAGGCGGTCCCTCTCCTTTTCCAGGTTGTCCACGTCATGTTGCGCTCTTTCTCAGGGGCAGGTAAATGCAAATGCCGCATACCTGTTCCGAGGCAGCCAGTCTGCGGTCGGTTGCTGACAGTCAGCAACACACTCACGCCATGGAATCAATCTCGAAGAGCTGCGTCGACCGTCACTAGCTTGGACAGTTTTCCGAATGTCGGAGAGAAACTCCACGGGTTCACTGTTCAGGAGAAGAAACATGTACCAGAGTTGCACCTTACTGCGGTACGGTTAAAGCACGACAAGACGGATGCAGATTACCTTCATGTTGCCAGGGAGGATAAGAACAATGTCTTCGGTATTGGCTTTAAGACGAACTCCCCAGATGCGACTGGCGTACCACATATTTTGGAGCACACCACCTTGTGCGGAAGTGAAAAGTGAGAAAGCTTCGGTCCGGTTCTTGCGCAAGTATAAATGTGCCTTGAGAGATGGACTCATTGCTGATATGCTTCGAACATTCTAGGTACCCAATTCGCGACCCGTTCTTCAA